CTTGGTAGACATTCGATATTACTATGTACCTCCACGAAGTCAAACATCGTGGTTCTATTGCCCTGCCTGTGGAGTGGAGGATTAAAAGATAAACATGAAGTCAAGTCGGTGGTATTCACTAAGACATATTGCTCCCCGAGGGTCGTTGCCCCTGAAGTTGATGCTGGATCAAACGGCCGAGTCCCTAACCATCCCATCCTAAAGATTTGCGGAAACCCTGTATCTGTCTTTCCTTGAATCGGAAGACGTCTATACTATCGTCATTCATTAAAAAATGTAAACACATTTAATACTTTTTTAGTGCAAGTATTAAAAAATCCCAAACATTTTAGATTATCATCAATAAAACGTTATTGTGACGAGGTACAAGAAGGTTTACATTATATTGCTTTGACCCTCCCTACCTACAGACCCTCGACAATCCAGACACTTTTATGTAAATTCAGAATAGATGATGTGACATTTCGTGACGATTTTCTAGATGGATGTCACTTTATCTTACGTTTTTTAGGGTTACTTTTAATATTCATATCATTTGCGATGGTTTCGGAATGTGAAATGGAATGTCGTATAAAAAGATGATATATTTTTCTTTTCTCCACGTAGATACGTCAGAAAAATTAAAATAAAACCATTATACGATAGCTAGTTCATAAAATCTAAATTTAGAGCGTTTTATAACTATCTTTCAAATTAATAGCATATTAATACGTGAAGAAAAATTTAATATTCCCTAAGTTGCTTAAATTCTTATTAATGAGTTGAGTCTCCAATCGTCTGAAGAGATTTTCAAAAATTATACCTGAGAATCAACTCGATAACGTCTACTTTAAAAAAACTTCTTCGCTTACGTAATGCTGTTTGTATGCAAAGTTATAAGCAACACTCCAAACTACAGAAACAAGACCTAGGTACTATTCAATATTCTATGACTACATTCCGCGGGAAACAAGTGCAAGTAACTTGAACAAATAAACAAAGATAATGAAACTTGCACAGAAGATGATTTTAAATGTAAACTTACCGCAATAATTTACGTTTACTTTTTGTATCAGAATGATCAGATAAATTAAATAAACAGTCTGTGTCCATGGAATCTTCATTGTTACTTATAACTATAAGTAACAATGAAGATTCCATGGACAGACTTTGACAGACACAAGACATGGACAGACACAAGTAGACACATGTAGAGCGACCTCGGGGTCAATACCCCCGGGGTCCTCCGGTAGGTTCATATATCAATAAAATACAAAGTCTTACCTAATTTTGCTGCTATTACGAAACTAATGAATAACAATAACACGATAAATAACTGTAATTAAAGATACCGTTTAAAACTTATCTGATCAATATTTAAATATTAATAATATACTCCTCAAAAAATACGACCACCAAACTTTACTTTTCCCGCCCTTTTTTCCTTTTTTAATATGATGATGATGTAATCCCGGCCGATTTCGGCCACGGCGACTATCTTCAATTCCGATTTTGTCGTTGATGTACTCGCATGTGACTTATGTAGCCTATTTTGTGTGTAAAAATTCTCGCACATTGCGGGCATGAGAGCACACCGCTCAAATAATTATAGCTGATAGCCGCAGGTGGTCGGGCTTTCAGCTCGTCGCGTCTGGCATCCAGCTCTAGGAGCCGCCGGTTATCAATACTCAACATTTATTACACTGTGCTATCAATCAGATACTATTTGGGTCCACCTCCATTAGCACTGCTGTTATTCAAAATTTATCGATTTCCGGCAAATAGACTTCAGCTACGTACGTGGGTAAGTGAAATCGGAAGCTTTTAACTCGAAATATACGATGGCTGAAGATAGAATTATAGAAGCAATAAAATGTCAAAATTAGATGAATATTTACTTTTAGATATTCCTATTATTACTTTGGTAATATAAGTAGTAGTATTTTAAACTACCTTTTCTACTAAAAGTTAAATAATACCATGTGTCTACCATTTGCATTTCAAAATACGACTATATTATCTACCATACAAATGTGCACGACCTTTTAGTTCTACAAAAAAAAATATAGGTATCCCGATACTCGCAAACTTTAAATGAACTGAATGCTGTAAACCTCATTTTAAATCGTTTAATATCGTTAATTTGTATCAAAGTACCCAATTTTTAATAACACAAAAAAAATTATATCAACACGCCGTTCACCTTCATCGCCTTATCCTATGTCAATAAAAAATATACTTACTAATAAATTACCTGAAATAATGAGAAAGGAAAATAAATATAATCAATGTGTTATCGAGTTAAAACAAATGTTGAAAAAAAAAGCATATTAGGGAATTAAATTAAAACGTCCGCCTCTCTTCCACGTTGCTATACCTAACAAGATGTATGAATTTACTCAATCATAATTTTACAATGCAACATAAATATATAATTGTCCTACTTCTTATTCTCAGGGACTCAGAAGACTAAGACTAAAATAAAATGTATGCACTATGCACGCAGGGGCGGCGGGCTCTGTGAATCAGTTGTTGATTCAGTTCATTCAAAAGACCAGGCAGTTGCGTGGAGGCGGAATTGCGGATTAGGGAAAACACAATGAAATTAAGATAATAGATCGGGCGCCATTCACTGACCTTGATTTTATCTGCTGGTCTTCTGCAGCAAATTGGTCTTCTTCCAATCTAAGCAAGGTAGGCCTGAAGCAGATAATCACCGAAACACTGTACACTTATTTGTTTGTAAACTTCGTACTTAAACATAAACAGTATATGCACTATAAATAAAATTGCATCCTCACGCGGCGGTTATGCAGTTACAGTAGTTAGCGGAGCAAAAATCACTAAATAAATATATTTAAAATCCGGCGCAATCAAAATGATGACTGATCGATGGGCTTCGGTCAATTCTTTGCAGATGTGAAAACCTTGACACTGAAGGGCGGTGCGACCGTAACCGTAATATAGTAAACGCCTAAGAGGAAAAAGGATAGATATAAGGGTGTGAGGACCTATACAATCATCAGTCTCAACAACACAATGAGTTAATAAAAATGAAATTGTAGTAAAAGTTTTTATTCAATCGCAGGTTGATCTGTGTAGTTACTTTTTTTTTTATATATAGTTTTTTATTATTTTTAATAAGAGCTAAGGTAAAACAATTAGTCGTTCTTTAAACAAAATTTATGACTGTTCTTGCACAAGTACCTATATTTACAGTATAGTTAGAAATTTCTCAAACTTCGACAATGGGCGGTATGACTTCCTTTGAATGCTCTCGAGGACAAAGCCGCTTATTAACTCCATAGATAACTTAATGCTGTAAATTTAAACTACTTGTCTCTGTATTTCGAGTTAATGCAACTATGAAGGTCACTATCCATCGGGTCGATCAGTCGGGTTGAGATTGCGCTATCTGTAGGTATACACAAACATTGCATTTAACTGTTCGCCCAACTCCAGTTCTATTATGAAAATAAATGTACGTTCACGACTACTCTAATTTTTATAACTGTATCTCAGAAAGATATATAGAAAAAGAAACTCGTCTGCGTGCGTCTCAGTCTCACCTATGGCAATCGTCAAACAGCTTGCGATTTTAAACTCCCTTTCCCCTGAACAGCGTTGTAGATAGTGAAATTACAGGAGAAAGGTATGTCATCTTTGTCCTCTGGAATGGCAAGATATGAATGGTAGAACGTCAAATGGGCATCACATATTTGTAGAGCTGTTCATGAATACATATGTACAAGCAACGATTACTACTTACTATCAGCTAAGCTGTCAGCTTTGTTGCCATTTTATTTTATTGTTACATAAAAATACATAAGGCTTCTTAAGTTTTATGAATATATATGCAAGGCTATTTATAGTTGTATACAAATATACAAAAATATCTGTTTAAAAAAGTAACGGGCAAGTTATTCTTTCTCCTTGAATGAGTCAACATTTAGAATGAGCGGTAAAATAAATAAAAAGATTTCAAAAAGTTTATATTAAGTTTATTTAAATAAATATTGTTTCTTAATGAGCTACAATAATAAATTCCAAGCTATGTAAATCAGAGCTTCACAAAGTTCTCCAGTCTCTAGAACTCTTTGTGCCGTGTAATCGTGTCTATTTGTTTTTGTCCACTGGCCGTCATTTCAGAACGAAATTCAATTTAAAATCCCAAATGTGAAGTTGAATTAGTACCAACAGAGGATACAGGTCCATTGAAAACTATCGTAGATTATTCTAGGGCATTAATTAAGTAACGGTACTACTAACTAATCTCAAATGCAAAGGATTAAAATCTACAATATTGCTGTTAAAAACGAATCGTTTGAAATTGTGAATCATATAACATAACACGTGTCTGCAACTCTCAAATGTTTTATAGAAAATTGTAACCCATCAATTTTCATTCGTTACAATTGGGAATTGTTAATAATATGTTTGTATAATTAGGTCTCTGGTGAATTTGTTACGATGTACTAACTAACCCCGGGTAAAATTAGGTATGTAACATTATTAGTAAGAATTCGTTTTAGTTTATACCTACGAACTTTTTTACAGTTGCTTTCACGAACCTATAACTGCATCATATGCACCTGCAATTCTCAAACTGTTCGTACAAAATATGAATCCTATGAATTTTACCATATCAAAATTGTGGTTGTTAATAACAGTCTTACATAATTAAAACTTTTTAGACTTTATTAAGTAAAATACTGTTAAAAATACCAAATAAAATATATTAATGTCTTGAATATATAAGGGCCGTTGTATTTTTAATTGGGAACCTTTTAAGTATAATTGAATATTGATGTCAGTGTGTATAATTTTCTGCAAATCAGTTAATAGTGTAATAATTATTTTCATAAGAAAAAACAAATCAATTACGACTGTGAACATAATGATCTCGTTCCGTAATTAAAAACACCATACTGCTCTGTGTCAGCCACTGTCAGCTGTCAGTCAGCTATGACATTGAAAACTTTTTGTACAGATGTCAATACCACTTCACTTAATTGTTTGATGTTTGAATTGCAAATTTTGTGATTTCTCTGACTAATAATTGTTTACAAAATAAGTATCGGTAAAGCAATTAAATATTTTATACTATTTTCTAGTAATTTAGAAACTATTAAAATATTCAATGACTAATACAAAATGTCTGAACTCAATGTATGCAGGATATGTTTACGTACACGATCAAAAAGTTACGAATGCAATCGATTCCAACTGAAGAATTATTACGAAGAAATTTTGGGATCGAAAGTAAGTTTTTAATAACCTTCAATGACTGCTAAAGAATTTTCGTTAATTAATATTAGATTATGAACACGGAACATTAAACACGATATTTATATTTTCTACTTTATTTGCAATTTAATTAAGTAATTTTAACGAATTGACCGGCTAATTTTATAATGAATTTATTACAATAAGCATATAGAAAATGTAGAGATGAATATGAGTTTATATTGTTATTACCCATTAGTAAAATTTATTTCGGAAATTTATTTATTAATTAAATTAAATTCCGAAATAAATTTTACTAATTCGTAATAACACCTCTCATTAATCTAGTTTCCTTACATTGTATCTTTTTATTAGTTACAAATGTAAAACTGTGTTTATTTATTACGATGCATCTAACTGTGGTAATAAGATGTGAGATAAGTTAAGCACAAAGTCAGGTTAATTGGTCCATTGCGGAAATTAACTAATGACCATAATGAACCATATGAATGATAGGGATAGCTGTATGGAGATTGACCTGTCAGGGTGCATGGGGGGGTTGGTATTACCAAGAATTGCCCCATGGAATTAAAAATAGCATTGTATTAGAGCACTATTATCTTAGTGCATTATTGTTGTCTAAATAATTTTATTACTATTTTCCAGGTATTTACAACAGATGGTCTGCCTCAGACATTCTGTGTTGAATGTGCCACCATGCTTCACAAATATCACAAGTTCAAGGAGAAATGTCACATTGGACTCAAGCTGCTCACTGATATACTACACAATGAGCCTGTTGGTATATATAAATATATATAATACATATAAATCCCTTTAACAAAACTAATCACTTAAACATATTTAATATTTTAGGGCATATTGTTGCAGTAGGCCTTACTATGTTACTTTTAAAATATTGAACACAATGCCATCAAATGAAGACACAATATCATGCCCTATCTGCAATAATAATAATGATTAGTAATTGGTTCATAGTATTCATGGAACAATAAAATATTTGGAAGAACAAAATAATAAATTGAATATAATATTCAAATTCTACAATTAAATTTACTTGTAAACATAAGTTGTTTAATGAGTATTTTACAGAATAAAGTATGGCGAGAGCTTTAGTAAATCATTAATCTGCTGTTTGTTTATGAAATAAATTATTTAACAAGAATTTTAATACACTTCATATACATAAACCTTTAATATTAATGTCCGCTCTAAAACTGTTGTATATCACTTTCCTAATAAGTGTAATTTTAATTGATATATTTTCCACATATTGGGTTGCATTTTTGAAATTGTCACATGGATCCCTAACTTTTTGAAAATATTCTATTGTCTATGTTCATCAAGGATAAAGTAGGATAGTACTAATAGTAAACTAAAATTCAATAAAACTTTTCAAGTTTATAATATTAATTAACAGATTAAGTTTAAAAGGAAAATTTTCATAATACCCTAATAGTTCAATGTATTCAAGATTTTTCATAATAATATTTATTTAAATATAAAACATCAATAAATATTGTTAGGTAAAATCTCTACTGATACTTTTGTAGTTAAATCAACCTGTCAATATTAAAAAAATATTATATTGTTTCATTTAAATTTTACGCTAATGATGCAGAAATTCTGATATTAAAATGTTTTGACACAAACTTATTATTTTCTAGATAACATACAATGCAGTGTGCAAAGTGAAAAAACAATGCAAGACTTTACATTCAACATTAGAAATAGTCACTGTTTATACTAATCGCGTTAGAACATATTTTGTTAAAGAAAACAGACATACTAATAAAAATAATTTAAAGAAAATCATAGATGATGAACTGTCAAATGATGTTGACTGGAATGATCCTGACATTGATCCTGTAGGTGAGGTTTATGATTCTCCCGATTGTAATAATACTCATAAAGTTACTGATGAATCTGTTATGGAGGTAGAAGATAATAAACAGACTGATATTATACACGAAAATTTAGATCTGCAACCAATATACAACCCTAATGTAGTGTTTATAGATGATAAAGTAGAAGTAAGATGCAATGATATTTCTAAAGATATAAATATAGAAAATAAAGAAGATATAATAAGTAAAGACAATCGTAAAAAGAAAAAGAAAGGAAGAAAAAAAAAAGAGAAAGAAGTGAAGATCAAAAAGTGTAGGGACATTAGGAAAAATACTAAAATATCTGTGACAATGAGTAAAAAACAAGATTCTTTTAAAGCAACAAATAAAAAGATGAATATACTAGAAGGTAAGAATTGGAAGAAGATATCGTTGAGTGAGGATGAAGCACAGAAAGAGTTTAATGCTAGATCAGAGGATCGTAAATATATAGCTGCAGCATTTAAATGTACAGATTGTTATAAGGGTTTCTCAAAGGAGGAGATGTTGAACAGGCATAGGCAGTTAAGACATAATAAGGTAAGTGGTTTTACTTCTACTTGTGTGTTATGTCTGTGATTAGACCTTCCAAATATATCTTTATTCATGTAGGACTAATTACAAACGAATCTATTATCAGTTTGGGATACAGCTGAAAAGAACTAACAAGAAACTCTGATCTGACTTCATACAATTTAGTAAAAATAGAACAACATTCAAACATAAAGTCTTGAAGACAATTTTTCAGTATTGTACAACCCAAATCATAACAAACAGAAGCTGAGATGTTATACTAAGCCTCTAAACCATAAAATAATGTAAGGTCAATTAATAATTTAAATTTTGGTCTTCAACAGTCAGACCGGTTTGAATGTCGCTTCTGTCATATGCATTTCTCAATGGACTGCTACCTGAGAAAGCATATGCGTCAACACTACACCAAATATGAATGTCAACGGTGCCAACGCATTTGTCCACTAGAGTGAGTAATATGTTAAAGTAAAAAATCACACCTTCACAACTAGGCAGAAGACGATTATCAATAATGGTAACTACTAGACCCGTTATAATGTTAATATCCTGTAAAATTACAAAGACACAGAATTATTTTTTTTCTGTCAGAGGAACAATGTTTTTCATTTCATTTCATACATAATAAATTCCTATATCAATACAAATAATCATACTCTAAGTATCAAACCCGCGACCGTTGACCGTAAACGGTAAATGAGATGTTAAAAAATTACTAGATCAGTCAGTTAATAACCATATAACTCTTTATGAGTAGAGATTTTTGTAATTTATATGTTTTTTATCTGTTTCAGAACAACCGCATTGTTACATGAGGAGTTTCATACCGGCGATGTAAAGAAGTGTGCCCATTGCAACAAAGAATTTAGGTACAAAATCTATCAAATCCTTGTGTGATAACGTTTTTTTTTATAGCAAATGCTTATTAATTACTTATAGTAATTAGCAGGTCCACTTTATTGAAAGTATTTACTTATTGAGATAGACTTTGCATATTCAGTCTATTTGTGCACAGATCAGTTCTCTTTTGTACAATTATAAATCGACTTGTTGATCTTTATATAAAGAGACTAATGTCAGAGGTAAACTCTAAAAATTGTATTTCAGCCGTTAAGCAGTCGGTTGTAGTGTGTGATAAGGCAGTTACATTACAGAATAAGAGGCATGATGGCATGCTTATCTAAGATGATAATATGAAGATGATGATAAGATGTCTTAGTGCTCTGGAATGGCTACATGTGAGTGGTATCACAAATGTCACATGATAAAGTGATGTCCGTAGTGCTGATCATGCTTATAGGGCACCTCTTACCATCAGGTGGGCCCTGAGCTCGTTTGTTACACTACTTGTGTAAAAACTTGTAATTAGAATTAGGTAAGGATAATAATAGAATTGTATTAATATTTCAGACATCTATCAACGTACTACACGCATCTGCGCACGCACCGAAGTGAACACGTGTGCACATTATGCGGCGTCTCGTTCGTTAGTATGGCGGGGCTGCATATGCACAAGAAAGTTAAGCATGTAAACAATGAAGTTGTAAGTATACCTCTACTATATTTATATAGTAACTAGCGGTGCAATGTTGTTTCTAATACCGAAATAAAGAAATATTTCATGCCCCTCTTTTACTATATATAGATAGATAACTAACCCATCTGATTGTTATTAAGCACATTGGTTGTGGAATAAAAAGTATAATCATCACATTTAAAATTAGTGTAATTGTTGCTAAGTAACAGTTATCTCTTATATGAAACTGTGATAAAATAAATTATATTTACTATAACCACTGAACATCTCTATCAATTTCAAATGTAAGTGGCACATACATCATATTATCATGTGACATCTGTAATACTATACTACTCCTTTATATATGTGGATGGCAATCATCCACATATATAAATAGATTATACACTACATTGTAACACTTTCATATTATGTGACTTCACAGCTTTATGTGTGAGTTGCGCCTGATTTATCCATGCCAAAATCTTAAAAAAAAATCTAAATAAGTATATAAAACTTAAAGTTTTTTAAAGTTAACGTTAAAGTAAGTAAGTAAAGTTAAAGTTAAAGTATATAAAAGTTAAAAACCTATTTTACTTAAATATTATCGCATTCATATAAGTTAATAAAATAAATTATAAACATTTATTGCAGGAGCATTCAGAAGATGAAGCAAACCAACAGGAAGTGAACACGTACTGTGAACGGTGTGATATACGTTTCGAGACGCGCAAAGCATACGAGGAGCATTTATCTCATTCAGTGCTACATGTCGATAATGCAGAGTAAGTATTATTATTATATTATCACACTAATTTTTCTAAGTCCGGAAAACTAGTGGTCTGTTTTTAAGAGATAAATCGTCACGCCAAGTTTCATTAAAATGCATTTAGATGTTTTAGTCATGAGAGTATAACAGACAGACAGACTTCCGCATTTATAATATTAATATTGCTCAGTAACCCGACCCGGCTTCGCCTTCAGTGTATATATTGATATAGTATAGGGACTATGTCACTCTAAAGTATCTTTTAAAAATTATAGTTAGTATGATAAGTACAAAATTTATATTCATATTTCCACTTTGTCTTGGTGAAAGTTGTATATACACATAGCGTAATAAGCAAATCTAAAAATAAATAGGTGAGACAGAGGTACACTAGATAGCTTCCAGAGAATTATAGAACTAAAACTTATGCCGTATCAAAGCACGGCTTAAGTATACAATCAACAATATGTATAGTGAGAAATTAAACGTAACAAGTAAAAATACCCTAGTTAGCTTTTTACAGTCTTCCTATGATAATAATAATCTAAGGACTATTCACACAGCGCCATCTAGACCCAAGTTAAGGTAACTAAAGCTTGTGTTATGAGCACTAGATAACCGATACAAATACATAGATATTTTTTTCGTAAATAAATACATATCATATAGAAAACACCCAGAGCGATACAAACAATCGTACTCATGAATACAAATGTTTGTACCGTGCAAGGAATCGAACCCGCGACCATCGGACGCAAAGCGGTGTGCTAAACCGCTAGACCACGGAGGTCGTCAAATAATAAAAGTCAACTATGTTTCTCTAGCTTAGAATGGGAAATTATGAAAAGTAACGTAATCAAATTGTCTTATATTACATAGACTTAATGAGTAAATGTATTTAACAGGGAACCAGATTTAGACGAAGAAGTGACGGATGTCACGTGCAAAACAAAATATAGGAAACCGATGCGAATGAAAACGAAACCGACCACGTGCCGGCAAGTGAGTATAATTTTTATGTGTTTTTAAGTGTACTTAACACTTTGTACAAAGTCGTTTGTGGGGGTATTTCCCTCTCATCTATTTCAACCGCCAGCTTGCTTATAAGCTGTGATTCGGCACATATTCATAATATTTTAGTCCGAATGACAATGCAAGTGATGAAAATGGCTGCTGTTCCTGTTTGGTAATGGGTTTATTTCTTTATTATTTGCAGTGTGGTAAACACTTTGAGACACAAGCCGCCTGCTTGAAGCACCACCTAGCGGAGCATCCGCGCACTGCTTTCACAACCGACAGATATGTGTGCGAAATATGCGGGGTATCACTAGCGGTAAGTGAAATAATATTAATTTATACAAAAAAATCAATTAACTTAATGTTAGATTGAGGCTCCATATGGTTGGCCCTGGAAACCATAGTGGTTAATTTCTGGTTATTTAATCAGGATGGGCAAACTGACCTGACCTCATGCTCATCTCATCCTCCATTGGTGCCCCGCCAGCGTAAACCATTAGCACAGTCGGGTGCACCATTCCATTATCATCCATGAAAAAAAAAGCGGGCATTGGTAGTAAGGCAGTGTAATCTAGACCATTAAAGCTGTGTAACTAACAGTTGAATAAACCAGGTAAAAATATGAACTGGTTTTAAACTAAATCTGTTTACATGAATTAGTCCTAGTTGGTAGTTTGTATTCCCACACTTCAACTTTAAAATGTAAAATAACAACAAAATTGTTTAAAAGAGCAACACGCATCTAGTTCATTCTTCGTGTGATTAGACAGTTTTCCTAATGAGCGATAAACTGAAAAAAAAAAGTGGTGACTATTCAAAAGTTCTTCAATGTTCTTAAAAAATAAACTTTTATTTCAATAAATGATTTTCTATTCTTTCTAATCTAATATATTCTATTTTTGGTTTACTTACAGCCGGGCAGTATAGCGGCGCATCAAAACAGACACACAAGGCGGAAACTGTACCCGTGCGATATATGCGGACGTACTTTCAACGTCAGCGTTGTACTCAAGCGGCATATGTTGGCAAGTATTAATTTAATGTATTTAAAATATTAATTAATTTAATTGAACACTTACTATTTTTTACTAGAGGTAATCGTTTGTGTGTTGCTATAACCCAATATATATATTTATCAGCATAATATTATCTATATAGAAAAGAAATCTATATGAAATTTTGCATACTTCAAGTTGTAGAGAAAAAATGTAGAATGCTATTGTTTTTTATATTATATATAAAATACATTAAATCAATTAAAAAAAACTTTATACACACTACAACTGATTTGACACACACATATAGTCTTTAACAATTGAACCTGCATAATTTTGAAACTTATAATTCAAGTTAATTATGGTCGAATTTAGACCAGAGATCGACTAGTAGTTTCTATATTTAGGGTTGCCAATTAATAATCTTCAGCAATAATATTACTAAAGAATTTTTCTCACGAAGATGATAAAATAATTTTCAGGTACACACTGGAGAGCGGCCTATATCGTGTAATTTGTGCGACAAGCGTTTTACAAGAACTCAAAGTATGAAGCTTCACTATCGCACATACCATCTGAAACAACCTTATCCCAAGCGGTAACTATTTACATATATATTATTTATAGAAATAATTAAATTTAGAAGTGTGTTTGTGCTATCTAATTTCAGAAACAGCTTTAGGGATTTGGTTTGGTTTGGTTGGTGAAACCAATGTAATGTATTTTTTTTCATACTACTATGGTGGCAAATGTGGCGTATGCTTGATACGGCCTATCTGATGATAAATGGTTACCGTAGCCTATTGTGGTGAGCTTTACTTAAAATATAGTGATTGTTTTATTCCAATAAATTTACAAAAAGTTATATGGTTTGGCTCAATAGGTGATACATATTACTATTCATATGGTAATTGACCACTGATAATTCATAAAGTTCACCTTTTTGTACTAAAGTTTACAATCCCTAATATTTATAAATATTTTATTCTATTTATACACTTTATTGCACCAAATACGGAAAATAATTAAAATAAGAAATATACATGAGCTGTTACAAAATGCGTTCTTATCACTAAGCATTATCATCCAGATTACCTTTGGGTACAGAAAAGAAAAGAATATATCCCTACCATAAAACATCTATTATTTTATATTGAGGTTATTTACCAAAGTACACTTTGAACAAAGTTATCTGCATGGGTGGGCACTTGCCCGACCTGTTTCCGCAGGTTGGTTTATAAACTGTTCCTATTTGAGGAGTGAAATTTAGCAGTGGAATTACAGGGTACTCAGACTTGATACCATAGTTCACAAGCTAAGTAATACCAATAGTAAGAGACGTCACAAAACGACGTAACGTCCGTGGTGCTACTCATATTTGTAAGCGACACTTCCTACAAAGTAAGGTTGGCTGCAGAAATGAGTTATAGAGAGGTTCCCACGGAGATAATTTATTATTACAAAGTCTCAGTAATTTAATAATGTTTATAACATCACAGAAACAAGAGGAAAAAGAAAGAAGACCACCCAGAAGCATCAGATTCAGATCTTATGTATCTCCTAGACGCATCACTAACAAGATCAACACATAAAAATACTCAAAGTTTACATTAATACTAGTTAGTTAATTATTTACAGTAATAATAGTACTTACATATTTGTATTACAATGAAATGTATGTACTTACTGTACTTATATGTAAAGACGTCCAACGACTTAGGCTGCTGATATACGGGCGGTAAGTTGTAAGGTTGCCCGATTACGACTAATGATCTGATGGACATCTATTTATAGCGTATTTCATTACTAAACCGCTGGTCTTCAAAAAAGCGTAGCAAAGTCTGCTGGATAATAAATATGATTATATCTAGCATCTGAATATAATTATGAATTGTTTTGTCCTTTTCGTACCATGTTATTTTAAGCAAGAAAGTCTAAACTACTTCCAAATTAATAAATTGATTTGTTTTATTTTTTATATAAAACGGTTATATTTGCGTTAGTTTAAAACTGTACTTACAAATATTTGTTATAAAATAGATAAGCAAGAATCATTATACTTCCACCTAGAATTAGTGATGCTAAGCTAACCAAGAATCGTTAATACTCAAGAAAATATATTAAAGAAACATTACAAAATAATTTTATCATATACTCAAAACTTAACTATTGTTAATAGATGTTAAATTAAGTATAATACTCATGCTGCCACAATAAATATCGTCTGAAAAAGTACTTATTACATTATATATTTAAATATAAAGGATATATAGAAAGTAGAAGTGATACATAGGTTTCTCAATAGCCTGTATACAATATTTGGAGATAAATTATTCTAAATGACTCGTGATTTAATCATATATATTTTCCTATAATATATCCTGTATATAAATGTATAATGATGCATAATTAATATTATTAAGTTATATGTGTATTCAAATATACCTATATATTTTCTTAAATGTGTTTTTCATTTCATTTATTGGAGTACCCATTTTTCATTTAATATATATTGAGTTATTTACCTGTTAACTAATAAGGTTTTATTAGACGTATTAAATGATAGAGGGGGGCGTTGTTGATGTCCTACCTAACAGTAATGGCCAACCGTGAAACAGCACCACTGACATCACGATATCATGTAACTATTACATCATCATCACGCCTTCTTTTCATAGCAATTGAAACATAAATAATATTCAAAACCTTTATTTGCGCATAACTTATAAATAATACATAATATACAGCTAATAGCGTAGAATATAATATTCACAGGTGCATCCTTCGTAAGTAACAATATTAACAAATTCTAGGTCGCCTTCGTTAATTTCTAATACATAAATCATAGCAATGGCAGGGCATTTCTTTGTAATGTATTATTTTTATTTTCTACTACCGTGTTTAGTTAAATAACAGCGCCAACTAATCAATACAGACAGACATTCATAGCCACTAGAGAAAAAGGTAGAATAAACCATTCGATTATCAAGTAACTTATGAATAGAATCAGTTTTTAAACTCATTCCTGAAATACTTTTACTCAAATTATAATATATCTCTATCTGAGATAATAGTCGGTACTTCCGAAGATAACGACGCATTGTCAATAGTCAACGTCGTATTTATTTTTCTTAAACAAATTCGGGTAGAAAACAACTAGAGGGCATGGTGCTCTCAAGACTAAAACACTAGCGACCCGTCCCGATTTTGCTCGGGCGGACATTTATTTTTTTAGGATATACGTAGAGTGAAAGTTTTAGTAGGGATCTCTAATAACATCTAGAAATAAATATATTACTTAGGGATAATGTATCATTCTAACGATGAAAGAATATTTAAAATCGGTCCAGTTATTAATGAGTTTATTCGTTACAAAAATACAAATAATTTTAGTGTAGAACTGGATAATCATGATTCGTATTGTACAAATTAATATTAGCCTGAAATTAAAGATGGCGACACACCCGGTGGGAAACCTCTGGGTTTAATACAAAATATTAAACAGATTATAAGTATCACATATAAAATTTCTTGCAATATATTCTTATATATAAAAATAAATATACAATTATTAATGTTTTATACGTTGTCGTACTATTCATCCAATAATTATAAAATTTGTCAACATATTGCTTACACTTACGACAAGGCTACTAGACTTTCCACAAAGTCTTCTGCGTGAAATATTTACACATTCACTGAATATATTTAAAGACAAAAGCACGGGACGAATCTATCGTCGCCTGTTGTTCCTTTTTAATATCGGTATTTCCATTACACGGTAAACAGTCTAAAATTTATACCATTTAATAAATCCAAGAACAACATGCACGTAATAGTGGGAGAGCTGCATTAATATGTACAAGCAAGTAATAGGCATACATTTCTAAACATAAATTGTTTTTTTTAATATAAAGGGTATAGAAGGCCAAAAGTTATGTCGAATACTGTAAATATCTAATTACAAATATACTAATAATCAAATTTCTGTTCCTGTTATACAGGACTCCTTACATCGGCCGGAAGGCAGACACGACATTCCTATTTTTAAATATTATTATTTTCATATTTTTTGTATGATTACAAAGAAGCAATGTATAGAAAATTGTTTTGTCAGTTTTCCATACATTGCTCGACTGTGCGCTATTATATTACATTATTTTTAGCTGTACCTTTAATCAAAACCATCATTGTCTGTACCAACGCCATATACAGTCCCATACATGTACTATTTTGTTACTTCTGTTCTTAACACACTACAAAATCTCCGTTCTCCGATTATTTTCTTTTCTTTTAATCACATATATAAATATCGAAAACATCCAAAATTAACACGAAATAGATCTACTGTAATCCAGAAACTAAGTGGGAATCGGGAAGTATGCACACTAAATTTATCACGTGACTGTGCAATTTCTTAATTTACATTATATTGTTAGTGGCTTTCAATTTTAAACCCTTTACAACTAACAACTTGTACTAACACCGAAGCAGCGTTAGTTTTACTATATGTGAGCTATAAGTTTTAGCATAGGAATTCTAGTAATACAACCTTTGCTAAAAGGGTGTCAGAAATTAAATGCTAAAATTAATATTATTGTACTGCCAGCGACAAGCCACGGCTTCGCACAGGTGTACAGTTTGTTACTGAGGTCATATAACTATAAACATGTATTAAAATAAACTATTTGGAAGAAATTCTCAGAATATTAGTAAAAAAATTCATTAGGTTACTTTATATTATTTGAATATGTTTATTTTTTACTTTATTTCATTTGAATAAGAATTTATTGTTATATAAGACTTATAATAACTTCATATTTTCATTCATATTATAAAACCTATCTGTTTATGTGTTATAGTTTCACGTAAAAATGGATAGAGGAATTAACATGAAATATTTACAGATTATGTTGTTAAATGAAAGAAGCTAAGCTATTATATATATAAATAATAAATTAATTTAAATTACTGAATACGACACCATTTTCATGCCAATTTCCTAATCAAATCAAATGTGCCGTTATATGCATAGCTGCTTTATATATTGTTTGATTACCATCAATAGATGGCGGTCTACAAATGTACACGCGTACGAAGTCTAGCATCACTAGTTTATGAATAAGACTGCCAGATATAACTGTATGATAGAGAGGGAATAGATTACCGGTTTTTTTTTCTACTAAATAAAAAATTTACAGTCTAACTCTTATCTTCGTCTTTCCTCGCTTTTTCGCCGGTTTGTTCCGGCCTCCGTCCGAGTAGGTCGCGTTTCACACAGCAATTGTCATTCTGAAAATAATTTATTTTTTAATCATTAAGACATTAGATAATCTAATCTATACCAATAAATAAAACTTATGACCTGTTGCAAACTGCAAATTATCGGCTTATCACTAAATGCATTAACAGTGTACTTACTGTAGTATAAAAAAAATAAGTTTTTTTTAATACTGTAAGTACACTGTCTGTCTGTTTGTTTGTTCTTGCGAATTTCTGGAATGGCTTGACCGATTTCCGCAACTTAAGATACCGGTACGGTATCATATATTAGCTACATTAGCGAGTAAAATGGGCTATACTTAATGCGGATAGTTAGAGCAGTCCCGTAATGTAAATAATAACAAGTTTGATGGCTTCAATAGTCGCTATATTGCAATTCAAGTGTTATATCGCTTTAGCCACCTTTTTTATATATTTACAAAAAAATGTACTTAAGTATTCTATTAATTGTATAGATACACGTTTATTCTTAAAGTCTGTGGTTAATTTGAGAATACATTAATCTTGTTTGTCCTTAATATTATTTATCTAGCCTTACTGAATGTCAAACATAACCTCTAATCATATAAGTAGACGTATGACAGTCTTTGAGAATAGAACTTTAACTTATAATTAAAATTTATTATGATGGAATTTCGACCACTGGGCGACCAACAGTTATTATAATTACCAACCAATTCTGGGTCACTAGAGTCGTCTGTGTCACTCGAGGTGTCCGTGTCGTAGTGACCGAGGCCGGGCAGCACGCCTACACAGCGAAGCGCGCCGTCTGTTGCACTACCCACTGGCACCGAACTGCAACCGAAAAATCGTTTTAATCTTCCTTATAATACACCTAATTGGGGGAAAGGGATAGTTAGTAATGTGGAATAATAACAATGTACCATCTCAGGATGAAATTTCCCCCTTGAAAACCCCCTTCTTCCCCATGGAAACCATCGTTGTAAATTGCCAATTTATGACCTGACATCATGCTCATTTTATTAAACTGCACTAGTGCCCCGCGTAAACCGTTAGCGCAGGTGGGTGCATCATTTCAATATCATCCATATCTGATGCATATGTGTATATTTACCATAAGGTGGGCCGTCAGCTGGTTTGCAATTTTACATCTTTTTTTTTTTTATCATGCAATCAGTCTTCCAGACTATAAGCAGATTTGTTGACTATCTGATATCGTGAGAGGTGATTCTCCATTGAGAATATATATAAGTCTGGTATTTTACGTCTCTTAAGACGTGCCATATAATCAGGCAATGTCAGTTGAACAGCAAGTTTAAATAAACAGCAATTTTACATAAAAATATAAATATACGAGTATATATAACTAGTTGACCCGCGCAACTTCGCTTAAGTCACATTCTTCGTTTTAACAACATATTTCATTGCAGCTTCGCTCCTGTTGGTCGCGGTGTGATGTTATATATCCTATGACACTCATAAACAATGTGGCTTTTTATTGGTATAATAATTGTCAAAATAGGTTTAGTAGACCCAGAGATTATCATTTACAAACTTCACTTCTATAATATTGGTATAGAAGTATGTATAAATAAATTGTGTATTAAATTACCTGATGACACCATTGAGCTTGGCTGGCGTGGGAGTCTCCTGTTTATCGTTATCAACATCACTAGCCTTTCTCTTCCGCACAATTACCTATTTATGAAAAATAATAAAAAATTAAGTATAGCAAACTGGCTGACAGATACTTCTTTGCCTTTTCACTAATATAAAAAATGTTGTGTTACTTCAACAATACATTTTGATTTTATTTCTGAAATGACGATAATGTGCCACATAAGAAACAGTGGTTTGTCTCCCTGAGCAAACAAGACACTGGCCCATAGCATTGCTATTATAGAATGAGGAAACTTTCTTTCCTCGTCATGTATGAAATTTTATACATATTTGTGTTCGATTGTTCTTTTTTATATAGTCTTCTATTTTAAATTGCACGGTTGTAGAATCTGTTGATGTAAATAAAGTAAATATCTATCTATGTCCAAATTCTACTTACATAGAAAAAAGAGCCTTATGTGAAACATAAGACGTTTGGTCAACGTTTTGGAAAACATGACGGTGCTGATCCGACGGACAAAACTTGGTAGTTTGGTGATCGCGCGGTGGTCCGCGCGTATCTAATCAAATAGCGCTCGCTTTCCGGCTTATTGATATACACTTCTATAATATCTCTATTCAAGAAATTACTACCAAGTTGCAGAGAAGCAAGAGGAAAGATGTCACACAAAAATCGACTTTGTTACATACCCCTTGCAGTTTATTTTTCTGCGTTTGTGGCGCGGGTTGCGTGTTACGAGCGGGTGCTAACTGTGCGCGGAGTCTGATCATCTCCTCACTCTCTGCGAGGCTTGACACTCGCTCTCTGCAATAGAGTGTTATCATTAACAAACTTTAAAAAAAGAAAGTCATGGATGATAGATTTATATTTTTAACTGTCTTTTTTAATTAGAATGGCAAAGAAGCTGATGGCCTACCAGATGATAAGTGTTAATCATCATTCTTGTACAAGACCTTTCAGCCTCTTGTGCATGACAGATTTTTTATCACTATCTCAACCAGCTACTTCAGTTGGAATGAAAAAAGATAGAATTCATCTGTACAATTTTTATTAATATATTTCTTAATGTCTGTCATATAACCATTCCGGAGGTCTACAATATCATGCCTTCACACCATGTGATTGATTCAACTAAAACACAACTTACAAAGCAAGATGCATAGCAACTAAAATAGGTGAGACATCTCTATATCTGCCACGAAAGTAGATGACTTTTAACCAGGAATTTAGCATGTTTATACCATAGGAAATACTTCAATAATCTATTATATTTACAATAAATATTGAGCTACATTTACTACCTGAACTCCTGCATTTCCTTCTGCTCTTCAATTGATATCTGTTGGGCGGCTTTTGCTTTGGTTCTCTCCACCAGATCCAGAAAACCAACTTCATCATCATCTAACCCTCTGATCATATTCTCTGTAACATGTGAACATAAGAGTAGCATTATCAAGTACCTTTTTGATTGATGAATATGGAACTGTGGCTTTCTATCAGTTAAGTGTACTCAAGCTCTACATAGGTAGTTGTATATGAAAGCATTGCAATTTTTATTTTTGTTTATTTAACAGTGGGTACCAGAAAGTTTAATGTCATTAATAAAGTTCATTTAGTACTGTGCTCTGCGCTAGTTTACTTGTAATAAACCTCTCAAATAACTTTATTCTGCACTTTCAAATTACATAATTTAAAAAATAATAATGACCATAAACAATGAAAAAAAAATTATGCCAATTTTTATGCATTTAACATTATTACATCTCTAATCTCACAAACATACACAAACAAAAATGTCTAGTTGCTTAGGCATATAATCTCTATCATAATCCTAAGCAACTAGACTGTTTTTGTTTGGTAAAGCATATAATGTATAAACATCTGAAAAGTTTCCTAAAAATGTCAAACTATCCTTTCAGCCCAAGGTGCAACTTTTCCAATTTTTCTGTTTATTAATAAACATATATCACACAAAGGCAATTACTCACTGAGTTTATGTGCTTCTTCATATTCAGCTTCTTTCTTCAATCTTTGCTCCTCAAGGCGCTGGTACAATGGCCGAGTATCGTAGGGCTCCTCTGGTGCCTCTATGAAATAAATACAAATTGCTGACGTCATTTTTTTATTTAAGTGAATATGTTACAGTACTTGGCCATGCTAATTGTCTATTAGTATTACTGGCAGTGCACCAATGCAGAATGACTGAATTAGGATGAAGTCAGGACAATAAGCCAATAGTGATATTATTATGAAATGTTTCCCTTCTATGTTAGTTCCAATACAACAAAAGAATAAAACCTAAATAGAATTTAAAAGATATAACAATACATACACAAGTCATAATTAAACTAAACTTTATTCACAAAGTATTGCAAAGTATAAATATTTGAAAAATATATATAACACTTGCCTATGTGTTATTCTGATGTATAAGCTATATTACTGTAAAGTTTCGTAAAAATCTGTTCAGTAGTTTTTTTCGTGAAAGAGTAACAAACGTCCATACATACTCACATACTTTCGCGTTTATAATATTAATAGGATGGTGCGGAGTCGCAACTCTTTGTAAATTCAAGAAAATCTTAAAAAATAATTAGCGTCCGTTGTGTCATTTTCATACATCAATTAATTTAATGTAAAACAATTAAAATACCCTTGCATAGCCGTTGTCGCTAGTATATAAATATATATATAAATAAAACATTGATAAGATTTGATAAGACTACTCATAAAAACTGTCATTTAACTTGGATTCGAATGTTTTTAAATTCACCTGTTTAACACTAGGTAAATTTTTAAATAAAAGGCACAATTATGCAGAGAACTTAAAACGTAAACTATTTATCATAAATATAACTGCAAGATATAATTAATTACATCAATAACATTAATATAATAACCTCACCTTTTGGTTGATCTTCGGTGCGTACTTTATCCCATTCTTCTTGGCGGCGACGCCTTGCTTCTATAATTTCTGTTTCGGAAATAAATCCAGAACTCATTTTATAATTCTTGTTACTTATTTAGAAAAAAAGAAATATGAGAAATTGTGAAAAACAAAACAACACATTGAATTCAATCAAATATAAATATTAAATTCGATAATAATTCACTTCACAGATTAAGTTCAAATTTAAGGACTACAGACTGTCTGTAACATTGTTTTCACAAATTATACACAGAGTGAGTCTTATGGCCGTCATTCTGTCCGTCACTCTTTATATTTTTTGGTTCGGTTGTTGTTGTTTTAAAATTCGTCCAAATTAGCCAGGCGAAGAGCATTGCCTATACTGCCTAGTCAGTAGTTACACTAATCTTTAGTACATAAATCGTTTTATGACTTTCATAGAATATCCGGGCTATTCTTGACTACTTCAGTCAAGTTATTTCTTAAGTAGAATGGATTTTCTCATTTCAGGGAAAGGCAAAAGTCACTCTTTATATTGTTTTTAACACAGATAACATAATATTACATAGTTTTTAATATCATTATATTATCGCTAGATGGATGTTCAGCATCGATAATTCCACCTAAAAAAAACAAAAACAGGGAGGCTGAACAAAGTAGTACCCAAATTTTTTACTGATTCTGAGTAAAAAACGAACTTTTAGTATTTTATGGATTCACCGTGCTGGGTCCATAGTGTGGCAGAGAGGAAAACTCCGACCAGTTCAAGAGACGTACGTCAACATTCATCTTCTCTGTTTCAAAAGAATTAAGTTTAAGCAGTAATTTCATTATTAATTCGATTCTGAAAAACATTGGGAATATTTAATATTCAGTTTTGTACTGTTTTCGTTTAAAATATATGCTCCTTATATTATATAATATAGGAAATGAAACACAACGTATCGAATTTATCTTATATTCGACAATGCCACATCAATAGATTAATGACAATAAAATAATATATAAATAATAATTACTTAATTAGATTCCGCGCGTTGTATAATGGTTCGTGTGACAGATGTCATTCAATTCCTAAAAAGCTGCACAGTTCCTAACTTTTATTCAAAATAAAAACATATACATTTTCTTTTAAAAGAAATTCTGCAGCTGCAGCAATGTCAACCACGCACATGGGATAATTTGAAATTACAGCGTATAGAGCCATAACATCGTAGTCCTCTACTATGAAAACGCATAAACGTGTACCGTAGGCCCCCCATGATGACCGTGGGTTGCCCGTGGCGCGCTCCATGTATATAAACGATGGTTGCAATTTACTACCAGACGGCGTATTAGTTTGTTTCAGTTTCCAGTTACATAAAAATGTACAGGTAAAAACTTGTCGCTAAAATTATTTGTACCTTAACAGATATTTCAGCCACAATGGTTAATTTGGCCAAATGTTATGGTTATGGTTTACATTGCTCTAGTTGCAGATTATATTCAATATAAACAGTGCAGCACAGATTAGCTTCAAATAAAAGCGTATGTATATAACTTTTATATAAATTTAAATAAACTATTATTTGATATGGATAATATATAAGTCAAAATTCATTAAACCGAACAACTTTCCCAGGAAAGCAAATATATGAAACATTAAGTTCTTTTACAATAATAAATAGCAAAGCTTCACCTGTCATCTGTACCATTCAATAACGTGTGGAGTACATTTTAAATTACAATATTTACTGAATAATGTGGTATAGAGAAACCAGGGCGGAGATGTAATGATGTGGTTTCACTAAACGTCACAAGAGATTAACTATATAGGGTGGAAAACCCGAACAATTTATACATACATATAGTCAGATATATGAAAAGGTTCTTTTTTTATTACCGAGATAGAACCATTAACATATATGGATGATCGAATCATTATTCTGATTAAATAAATATTTTTAAGCTATTGCATAGCTTTTATCGCGGGCTTTGAATGCGGCGACCGAATCAAGAAATTCCGGTACGAAAATAAACCTAACGCCCCCCACTCCGGCACAGCGGTGTTGCATTGAAAGCCGTGCATCGCCTAACGTCGTTTCAGTTCGGCAGATTTCGGCACGGTGTTTGTGTGCGCACGCAACTAACATACTGTACGAAGCTCGCACAGATCGAGACGAGCTGCTCCGAAATCTGACGAATACATAAGCAGCAGTTTGTAAGAAAGTATCATTATTTTATTACTGTATAATAAATTGTTTTCTTATCGGTCACCACGCTCAAAAAGTGTACTTGAATTAATATCAAGAAACAACTTAAATTAATATCAAAGAAAAATTAATACTGCATAAATAATTATAATTGCATAAGTTGATAAAAAATGCTATGCAATAGCTTTACCGCGGCAGTCCTCGAGCGCCTTTTAAATATTAATGCATTTGTACCATCACAACTGCAAATAGTTAATAATGTGACAGACATATGTTGAGTTATACCTATAGCATCACATATGATTTGCGCACAAGGCGCTATCTGCTATCGCAACAATAAATAAACTGGTTGCAAACTGGAGCGCGCTTTTTTGCTATCTCACTCACTGTATATGACCACCTAATTAAATAGTACACTATAATAATAATAATTTAACACACCTAAGTTAAAAATTATTACTCTTTTATTCTCACTCTGACTGAAACACATCTTAAAAACCAAGCTGCATCTCGACTGAAACAGACTAATGTATCCACGCAGACGAATGTTTACAGTCTTCCTCTGGTGATTGTGTTAATCTCAGGTACTAATGGTCTTAATGGCAAAATTCTTTTAGTGTTGGATGGCCTTTTAGTTGAGGAAAGATATAGACTACAACATCATGATATGACTAGCAGCTGCGGGGTGTCAATAGAAAAATGTATCAAAACGGGAAATGGGCCACCAACTAAATTGACCTTTATGATAATGTTAAGTAGTGCATATCATCTTCTTGTCCGTTCATCACAGTGGCAGCAACAGGTACGGGTTCGAGACCCGTCTTCTGTGTGGGGATCTCCGGCTCGGGCATACTGTCAGACTCTTCGTCACTTTTGGATTCCTCCGCATCCATATCTGGTAGAATATCTTTCTTTTTTCTTCTATTTCTGTAGTATTATAGATTTTAATTAGTTATTACATTTTACATATCCGAATCGAAGTACAGTTTGTAAAAAGTCATCTGCACCCGCGTAAGCAGACCTCAGTCTCACTTTATCAGCTGGCAAACAGTTTACTTTGGAAGCTATCACAGCTTATACGGTTGATCGGTAAAAGTCAAATAAGTCAGTAAAATTATAGGATATCTTAGTCCTAAGCATGAGCAACGCATGAGTGATATCACGGGCGTCAAATGACGATATAATATCCATAGTGTAGTCCGTAGTTAATGTATATGTGACAGTTACCACTTACCATCAGGTGAACCTTCAGCTTGTTTTCCATTCTAATTACATAAAAAACCTGAATGAAGAAATATTTGAGTTTCTTCTATTATCTCTATCTACTTTGCCACTACATTATTATTTATTAATAAAATAAATGTCATATTTATAAATATAAGCCAAGTTACTTCTTATAACATTAGCTAACTGCGATTGAAAGTCTAATCAAAATTGGTCCAGCCGTTTCAAAGATTAGTAAGAACAAACAAACAGACACACATTTTTTTATGTAAGAATATGTCCACATGTATTTAGTGTAAACTTGTTAATTTGAAATTACAAACAGACTAACAACTTGCTACCATGTGAGGGTTGATCTTCAAGCGGCTCCCCCTGGTATTTCCAGGGCTAACCTGACCTCTTGCTCATCCTATCATCCTCCACTGGTGCCTTCAGCGTAAATCATCGCTGGTGGGTAAACCATTCCATTATCATCCATTAAAAAGAAGATAGTATCGTAAAATACGCACCGTTTTGGATACGGCTGTTTCAGATGGAACGTGCGATAGTGCAACTTCATGCTGTTGCTTTGTGTAAACCTCTTGTCGCATAGCGTGCACGCGAAAGGCTTCTCACCCGTATGAGTCTGAAACAATTTTTAAAAAACAATATTAAGTTAAGAACATAACAGTACAGTTGTCACTCATCACTTTCAGGTGGTTTCGATCTTGGTGGAAAACAATTATATGTATTTTAGAATATATGCATGTATTTAAGTCAATTGTCTATTGCCAATAATACAAGCTCTGTACTTTGGCAGTAAATGGCGCTGTACTATTTGACAATATATATTACATACACAGTGCACAGCACTTTACATATTAAAATCTGTATAAATTAGAATATTGTTAATTTCATATTAAATCTGAAGATGCTGTCTTTCTGTTGCAACTGTGGTTTGCAATACATTCGTACAAACATCTAACGGTGTCACACCTGGAAATTGTATCTGGTATTCGTCTGGACCAATATAGATAAAAAAAACTGTCTGGATAGTACGAGAGTTGAATCTGCGATCATCGAAAAAAAAACCCGTAAATTAAACTGTTATAACACCACCTCGGTGTTATAACAGTTTAATTTACGGGTTTAATTTATGCTAGCAATGTACCATGTCAGGTCGACCTCCACGCGGTTCCCCCTGGAAACCATCGTGTTAAATTCCTGGTGAATTTGTCACGATGGGCTAACTGACCTGACCTCATGCTCATATTATCATCCTCCACTGGTGCCCCGCCAGCGTAAACCGTTAGCGCAGGCGGGTGCACCATTCCATTATCATCCACAAAAAAAATACACCGAGGTTACATTCTCAAGAAACATTCTACTCACCACTAGATGTCGCTTCAGACCGACGGTGGCGTGGAACGTCCGTCCGCAAATATCACAAGGGTGCACCTTCTCTCGAGTGTGTATGTTCAGATGAACAGATATACTTCCAGGCTGTTGGAAAACAAACTTATTTTAGTTTTAATATATAAATGAGTATAAAATACTGAAAATCATACTGAACGTCAAGTTAAAAAGAAATAACATCGTGGGCAGATGCTATGCCCTCCGTATGGTCGAGAGACAAGAGTATCTGCTGTTTCTTTTAAACGAGGGTAGTAGGGAAGAGGCTAGTGTATTAGCATAGATATACTTGCCGCTAGCGACGCGCCGCATATTTCACATATGTACCTCTCGGAGGGCGGCCGGAACGAAGTGCGCGGGTGTTCCGAAGTGTGGTGCTTCATACACGCTGCTTGCGTCTCGAAATGTTTCCCACACTAAAATAAAAAAAACGATAAATTTATTAGTAACCGCAGAATAATAAAGTAATAAAGTGTATTTTGAAACTTTCGTGTTTAATGCACATTATTTATATTTTTAACTGGACAAATAATTTTAGGTAAATAAAGGTCCGATCTTGGCTAATACAGTTAACACTCTATTAACTATATAAATAATAATTATCTTATCAATGTTAGACTACATAGAAAAAAAATATTATAGTCTGCCCATTTATATAAAAGCTATAATGCACAGACAAAAACGCAAACATACGGACACATCAAACTTATTACACCCTTCATTTTGCGTTGGGCGATAAAAAGTGAAAAACAAAAATAATATTTTCAACAACTACCGTTTTTAAGCTGACAGCCAATCTGATTGTAAATTGTAACCATCCCCAATTACATGAACAGCACAATGAAGACCACATTAGCATGTGGCAGCCAGGATACCATAAATGGTATCCTGACTGCCACATATATCGCTGGTGTGCTTTGCCATTCCGGACAACAAAGATATTATGTCTCCATATCCTACAATTTTACTGCCAAATCTGCACTCTACAACCGAATCACAGATTACAACGCACTGTTTGGTGGCTATAATACTAACATATTACGAAATATACTTGGGCATTGAAGTGTATAGTCCATCAACCTATAAATAACGCGTAATTTATACAAAGTCTATATCCGAACTCTGAAGCAGTCATGTCTTTACAAAGTCGACTTTTACAGTATCATTCCAATCTACTCACTTGGTGGCATGTTGTAGGCTTGGTCCGCAGTCGTTTAGTTTTCCTTCGCCTAGATTTAGATACAGCGCCCGTGATTACTAGGCCAGGATCAGATTTCCTATTAAAATAGAATAGGAGATTCTTTATTCAAATAACCTTTCATTTAAGCACTTTTTATTCATGTGTTCTTTTTTAATCTATCGCTCATTCGAGAAGCTACATCGTCACAAGAAGAACGAGCAACAAACTTGCGTGTTACCCTTTGTATTGTAAAGAAATATTATATATAGTGGTGTATTAACACATACTTAAAATCTATACCACAACTAACATAATATTACATATCTATGCTAAGATCATAAAGAGGGACAGATGATTTTGGTATGATGAAAGTAGACTCCGGAACCACTGTCCCAATTTGAGAAAATATTTCACTGTTTGAAAAGTATATTATCTAAGTGATAAAGGCTTTTCTATACTAGCTGTGCCCGCGGTTTCACTCGTGTTAAATTTTAATAAAAAATATAGCCCATATGTTATTCTGATGCATAAGCTATGTTACTGTAAAGTTTCATCAAAATCCGTTCGGTATTTTTTGCGTGAAAGAATAACAAACTACCATACTTACTATCTCGGTTATTATTAAGATTCTATATAATTTCGCAAGTTCGTAACTATTAAGTGTGAGTGCGAAATTTAGCGAAAAAATACAATTCCACACACATCGGTCAAGTTGAACAAGTAAAAAAAAACGAAAATGCTGCTTATTCCTCTGCATATTTTCCAAAAACAACCTAATAGTATACATAACTATAATGTGTGTTTATAGAATTATAGGCTTACCTTTTCCTTAATTCAGTTGTAATCTGAAAAAATATTAATTTCTGTGAGAGTGCCTACATTATATATAGTTATAAAATATTATGTGGTAATTGTATTGGAGACAGAGGAAAACATAGGCGGATGTTATTAAAGATAGCAGAAAGAGATTGAATGAGTGTAGTTAAGACAGAGAATAATGGAGTAAGTTGAGAAAGTCTTTCACTTACACGAAACTATATACAGATAAACAAAATTATATTATTTGTCAATATACTTGTCTATTGCAATTTTATGGCAAAATAGAGCCCAATAATAATAATAGGATTTTTTTTGTTGATTTCAATTATTAACTAAATATTTCTATACGAAATAGAATTCTAATATATAAAAAAATATTATTTACTAAACATTCATATGGCTCACCTTAGCTTGCTCTTTTTTGCTCAGTACTTTACGGGGTATTGATGTATCTTCCTGTAATTCATTGCTAGAAAAGAGTACAATATAAAAATGAGGAATATAAACCTTAAAATAAGCTACATAAAGTAGAAAACAAAAAGTAAGCATTTCTTAATGGGCGATAAAAGAATAGTGCATGTTCTTGCCCTAACAGTATACGATGGCCAGGCACCAGTGGTAGATGATAGAATGAGCAAAAAGAATTCTCCAGGAATTAAAAACGAATGTTTCCAAGATCGTGTAACAATGTGATCTTGGAAGATCGCGTAACAATGATCCAAACTTGGCACTTTGGTAGCATTAGTTTAATAGGGTCATAGCTCCAAATTTAAAAATCTCTATAGGCCTCAGTTTTGTGTCACTTATTTGTGTGTTGGTATGCTTGACATGTTTGGTAACCACAGATGTCATACGACAGTGTTATTCACGTATATAGGTGACAGTTAGCAATTACCAGGGGGGACTGTAAATTTATTTGTCTTGTATTAATTATTCAGATACATAAAAGAAATATTATTGTAAAATGTTTGTAAAGGTATGGAATTTTGGAAGTACTTTTAAATAAACTTAAAACATATTTCTCACTAAACAATTATGCATGGTATTTTCATTCAATGTAAGACATTAATATAAGCAATAAATGTTAATAATTTGAATTATAATAAAAATTAGAGCAAGTTTCTAGTCGATTCTTCTAAATTAAATCTATTCAGTCTGAATAGAAGGGTAGTGAAAAATGTTTACTTGCATAACTGACTAAAATGTTTCTACATATTTTTTAAATTAAAAAAAAATTTGAAAACAAACATACCTTTCACCATCTGCATGTAGTACGGATTGAAACAGATGTTCCTTGTATGCCTTCCGCGTCTCAAAGTGTATGTTGCAACGTTCACAGAACGTATTGACTTCGTCATCTTCATCATCATCAGGACATTCCTGCAAACATTGCGAACTCCATACAAATATCCTGATTACTAGATATGTATGGTATGTGTATGTATATTTATAGGAATATATATGTAAAAAAAATATATATTATTAATATTATTTGCATTGCCAACAATAAGTTGTTTGTTTGTAATCTCAGCACAAAACATTGTTGTCTCGTAGAAAATGCCAATAGGTGTTAAGTCCGCCATATGTACTTTTTACTACGTCTTACGTGTATTAGAGTTACTGAAATAAATAAATAAAATATATCCCAGATAATGCTTTGGTCAGAGGCATTATTAATAGTCGACGTCGTGGTGAACGAAACACTTGACATGACAAACATTGTTTGCCTCATCCCTCGAATTAACTTTTAGTTTGATATCAGTGTTACCTCCACAGGAGAGTCAGTCAGATATATAAATTGATATATTTTTCAGCAATAATTATGAATATCACGTTTTTCTGTTAAATAAAAACAAAAAAATATTATTAATAAAAAAACAAAAATTACGGGCCTCAGGAACGGAAGGAATTTTTCCACATTGGGTGAAAAGTAGACGAAGTCACAGGCAACAACTAGTAATATATAATCGATATGTAACACTAACAATTTCATTGCTGACGTGCTTGACCTTCTTATGCTGATGCAGCCCCGCCTCACTAACAAACGAGACGCCGCACAGCGTGCACACGTGTTCGCTTCTGTGCGTGCGTAAATGCGTGTAGTACGTTGACATATGCCTATAAGAAATTATTAAATGATAAATATCACTGTATAAATCAAATAACGCAATCCAATTGACCTAGGTACACTCTATAAAGTATTTTACGTGGGCATTTCTGTCCCATTCACTTCAGTTACCGAGTAACTTGCTTTGTCTTATTACTGGCAATTAGAACTTCGCTTAATACTAGTATTTTCGCCAGTCGACTGAATATAGGGTTCCATTTTGAGTTATTGATTTGTATTTTGTTATTATAATAATAATAACCCCAGAAATTTACACAACGCTATATAGTCCCAAGCAGAGCTTGTGTTATGGTTACTATACAGCTGATGGAAATACATAAATACTTTTTTTGTCAATACATGTATAATATACATAGATAACACTCAGACCAATACAAACAATTATACCCATGAATACAAATGTTTCCATTGTAAGAGGGATCGAACCCGCGACTATTGGAAGAAAAGAGAGGTTGAAGATCACTTTTACTCTGTTACCACATATTACATTTTTAACAATGTGTTGCACTATAGGGACTGTAATTAAAAGCGGAACTTCTCACCGAAATTCTTCATTGCAATGAATGCATTTCCTCAGGATACCACTATGATATTCTTCATGCAACAAAGCTGTGCTCCTGAAATATAAGGAAAATGACAAAAATATTATACATATACGTGAAGTTTACTGATTCTGTGTTGCCGAAAACGCTCAACGTTGAAAGTTTGACCCTGCGATCCCTGCATTTTAAATCTGTAATATCTTCGGAAATATTCATTTAAATTACAGGCTGCAAAGGGCCATATTTATGTATATTAAATGGTCAATATATTTAAGGTACTTAATTGGCTAAAAATTAATGCTGTAAATTCACTTCGTAAATAAACCATTTTTCTTGGTATAATGTAAAGGAGATTTTTTTTATTGTGGGTTATCCTTAAGAGATAGACATATACCATCGCGGACTTTTTTGTTAACCTTTTTAAGGTGTACAATACTGTAGTACATTATTTTCGATTTATCTCGTGGGGTTCAGCCAGCGTTTGCAATGGAAGCACAAATAATGTGATTTATACGTTTCTAATGTGATGTTATTTACGACATCACATTAGAAACGTCTAATTTCAGTGTTTCTTTAAAATACTATGCATTTATTCTACATATGAACCTTCCTCTTGAATCAAATATAAACCTTCCTCACTCTATCTATTAAAAAAAACGCTTCAAAATCCGTTGCGTAGTATTAACAATTTAAGCATACATAGGGACGGACAGACAGCGATAGCGACTTTGTTTTATACTATCTAGTGATTAATATATAATTAAAATTATTATTATTGAATCAGGAATAATAAAAAAAAATTTCATTTATTTAAAATAACTATTATTATTATTACGGCAATAACGGCTCCGTAGGAATACTACTTGGATGTTTTATTTTCTATTAAAAAGGTTTTTTATTTGTTATGAGCGTTGGTTCTAAAGTCGTATCCGTGAGGGAGGAATTCTCTGCCAAACACACGATAAATTCTTTCGCGGGTTTGGAATGCCATCTCTCTCGCCTCCATTTTTCGTCCGTGAAATTGTACAGGCCAGCAACGGCCGTCGGACTACGTAATTCTTTTTTTACAAAAAAATATTACAAAATTCGACTTTAATACGTTTATTCTTCTCATCAAAGCTTACATATTGCTTAAAATAACGTCATAAATAATTTATCACTTACTCTAATGGGCAGATCCTGTCGCACCGAAGACACTGATATTTGGTATAGTGCTGTCGCATGTGTTTTCTTAAATAGCAGTCCATTGAAAATGTCATACGACAGAAGCGACATTCATAGGAATAAGATATCTGTTGAAAATAAACTGTAATTAATTTAATATGGACGAATATGAATTACGAAATGTGGGCCTATCAAGGATTGTAATCATGGGTAGTCTGCAGACGCCAATGCGTGATATTTGCTTCAAACAATATAACGAGTATATAATACTGATCATGAGGATAGGATATTTCATCATAATGACAGTTCACAAATGTCACTTTTGCCCCATTTAGGATTTGTAGTAGATATATGTAAATTAGATTATCATGGTAAACAACTTTACTCTTTAAACTTGAGAGGAATCCAGCGGTTACTACATTTGCGCGCGCTTTTTTAACTCAGTTATTTGAGCATGCAACACAATTCGTGTTTAAATGTGTATGTATGCGGCAATTACATGGTTGTGAGTTCATATAAAGTTAGCTTACCTAGTTAGTATTAAGTGTTTCTAAGAATAAACAATTAATACAAAGTACCAATACAGGTTAGACAAAATTCGCAATCAATAAGAAATTTATATTTCTAAAGTTTAAATATTCATAGTAAATTAAATTATGTTACTTAATTTTACAGTCCAAAGTATAAGATTTAAGCTATGTTAATGTTGGTATAATGTAAATTAGTATAGTAAACACCTGATGGTAAGTAGAAGGCATTATCTATATGCTTGTCCAGTGCCATGGATGTCACATTCTAATGTCATGCGCATGGTACAATTCATGCTTTGCCATTGCAGAGGATGCTTCCATATCCTGTGATTTCACTGGCTTATAATCAAAACTGATCACAAAGCAAACTGCTTGGCAGCTGAAATATACATATGTCACGACCAATTTGATGACGACCTCGGTGGTCTAGTGGTCTAGCACACCACTTTACGACCGATGGTCGCGGGTTCGATTCCTCGCACGGCACAAACATTTGTATTCATGAGTATAATTGTTTGTATCGGTCTGCATATTTACTATGTATAATATGTATGTATTTACGAAAAAAAAATATTCTAGGTACTTGTATCAGTTATCTAGTACCAGTAACAAAAGCTTTAGCTAGCTTAACTTGGGACTAGATGGCGCTGTGTGAATTGTCCTGAGATTATTATTATAATTTCAACTGCCAAGCATGAACTTCAACCTAAACAAATTTGTAAAAAGTCTACCTATGTACATATAAGGTTTCACAAGTGTCAGAAATAGATCTATAGAAATAATAATATCCTGATTTTATTTTAAACTAGCTGTACCCGCGACTTCGTCCGCGTGGAATTAAACTTTATTTTTCTAAAATTAAAGTAGCTTAAGTTACTCCTTATTACATCAGCTACCTGCCAAAATAAGTCCCTACAAAATCGGTCCCGCCATTTCAGAGATTAGCCGGAACAAACAGACAGACAGACAGACAAAATTTGTAAAAAATGTCATTTTGGTGTATGTACCGTATTTATATTCATATGCATGTAGTAAAAAACGGTAATTTCAATATTACAAACAGACACTGCAATTTTATTTATATGTATAGATATGTAATGCAAACTCAATACCTCATTATGCCTTAACTTTTTATGCCTATTTAACATCTCCTGTTTGGAGAAGCCTTTAAAACAATCTGTACATTTGAATGCTGCACCTATGTACTTTGGATCCTCAGATCTGGCTCTGAATTCTTTAGTTGCCTCTTCTTCAGCCAATGTGATCTTCTTCCAGTTTTTACCCTCAAGTATATTTGTCTTTTTATTATTACCTCTAAATGAGATTCTCTTCTTACTTGGTGTTATTGCTACCACAGAATTCTTTCTTTTAAGTTTAATCTCTTTAGTTTTAATTTGTACAATGTCTTTCTTATCGTCTACAAAAATATTTGTTGGGCTACAAGGTAATTTCATATCTGTTTCTTTGTTACTTAAAATTTCTTCTTCTACTTCATTTTTTATGTCTGCTATATCACTGATATGTTCATTTGCCTCTAAATTATGATCTGTATCATTGTATACTGGGTCAATATCTGGATCTTTATGGTCACTATAACAATCATCTTCATTTATTGCTTCAAATTCATTGTCATCAGTTGAAGGATCATTGGTATTGACTTTAATTAAATAAGTTTTTACTTTATGCGTATTTACAGTAATTATGTCTAATGAGGATTGGAGATATCTATCCTTTCTGTCTACTTGGTACACTGCTTCATAGGTTATCTGTAATAGTAATAATATTGTTCTGGCTTTAGGTCCCTTATCCACTAATTCTAATAATAATTTAACACTGATCCAGTAATAATGAAGGGAACACATAAAAACCTTAGATGATTAAATTCACAGGATATACAGGTGTAAACTTATATTATTAAATTTTTGTATTCAAACATTAAATGTCATTTATATAACTAAAAAATAATGATTTATTAGCATTTCAAATTAAGAAAACAGCTCTAATAAAAATGAAAAAATAATTCAATAGCTGAAATACAAGGGTCAGCACATTTTTAGCACTTTAACATCTATGAAATAAAATTATTGAACAATAGTAATAAAATAAAGATTTTAAGTAAATTTCTGAATAAATAAATTATTAGCTAAAACCATCTCATACCGCATCATGACTAGTCTATTCCCTTAGAATATAAGCCATAGACAAACACACAGACATATAAAACTTATAACTACCCTCTTTTTACATGAATCTTAAAATAACACAAGTCATATACCTACAGGCCCTCTCCATAATATTTCTTTGAATACTTTTTGTCCAATATAGCATTTTTCCTTGAACTTGTGAAATTTGTGTAATAGTGTTGCACATTCATAACAGAAGTATTGTGGTAGACCATCTGCCATATTAACCTAAAATAAAACATAATTATTGAAAACTGGCTGTCATTTTTTTACCTATTTTAATGCTGCTACATCAAAGCTTCTATTTACAGCTACATCAACCAATATGGGGCGAGTGTAGATGGCACTCCAAACAAGCAGAAGCTCTTATGAATAGGCTAAAGACCAACTTCTGTCTGATGGATACAACTTAAGTCTGAGGGTACAGCTAGAGGTTCGAACCTTAGCCAGGTGGTCATAATTTCGATCCCCGTTTGAATGAGACAGGGGATAATAACCATGGACAATTCATGCAAGCTATCTAGTCTTGACCTAAGCAGAACTTGTGTTATGGGTATGAAATAACAGTTAGAAATACTCAAACAATTTTTATTGTAAACAATTTTTCATCATGTCATTTCTTACTATTTCACACAAAAACTACTAAACAGATTTTGATGAAACTTTATAGCAATAAAGCTTATATGTATATCAGAATAATATATAGCGCGACAGCTATTACATATATAATGTACATAGAAAACACCCAGACTAAAAGAAATTATACTTATAAATATAAGATTGCATTGTGAAAGAAATCGAACCCATGATCATTGGAGGTAAGGCGGTTTGCTAAACTAGTAAACCACCGAAGTCATCAAGGAGGAAACGTGAAATACCGCCCGTATTTCACGTTTCCTCCTTGACGACTTCAATCAAGCAACTATTAAGGTAAGTATTGTGAATTCTATATTTATTAAGGTATAATTAACAAAAATTAGTATGACTAAATTTAATTAATTATTAAAATTACAGCAAGCAGCTGACAAGCAGAGACAGTAATTTAATACATGAATTAAAATACTAACTTTTAAGGCCATAATTTCTTCATAGTAATACTTGAGCTGGAATCGATCGAATTTATATATTTTCGATTCTGTACGTAAACATATCCTACATATTTTTAATTCCGCCATTTTATATACTATAATAATATGAAGCTAAGGAGTATTATTCGGTAGCATAAGAAACTAAACCAATAAATTAGATAATTACAAAAGTTTTATTAAGACAATAATAATAAAATTGATTAAATTATATTTGTTTTGGGTCGCCATATTTACACTTTTACAGATTGTCTCTCTGACTCTGAGTATAAAGTCTCTGATTATCATTTTAATCTGTATTTTGCTGTCAGTTTTACAGCAAGACATCGCTGTCGGATATGTAAGAGTTATACAGGTTTATCTAGCATATACCTAGTTTGAAGTTTTTGAAACAAAATTTACACATAACACATTATTTTTTAATACAAATATCTGTATTTTTAGTACTGCAAAATATGCCATTTGTAAGTAATTGCAAACATAGATTTCTTTTTTTTCAATCCTCAAGAAGCTATCTTAATTAAACTACAATATAATAATCCAAATCAATTTTATTCTAGCTTTTCTTGTTTTAAAATAATGTCTAAAATAAATTTTGGATCTGAAATATAAGGGGTAAAAATAATCTTTTATTCTATAAAGGTAATGTAGTTAATGTCAACCACAAGGCAAACCTATATGTCAATTTATTGATTGATCAATACTGTCAGTCAGAATAATCCGCCTTTCAGTTGCCATAGTCAAAATGTCAATTTCAATTAATAATGTCAAAATTGATAAATAAATGTAATGTAAATGGAATTGAAAAAGTATACTAAAAAGTATTCTTAATTGTACTTTTACTGAAATTGAAATAATTAGCTTCATTTAACTGTTATAAGTACGTAGTTAATATACGTTGATAATATCTGAACATTTTTCTAATGAAAATTTCTGATACACTATAAGATCTTTATTCATTATTTTATTGTTAAAAATGTCTGAAACGGAAAATAATAGCACGTCAGGGGAAGACGATCAGAAAGAATATGTGGAGAACGGCAAAAACAAGATGACTGTTAAGTGTCAATTCTGTGGTTCCAAAATATTAGAAAAGCTAACTGCTAAATACATTGCACAGAAGGTAAGTTTCTTAAGTATTTACGTTTCTTTAACTTAAGTAATTAATCATTTAATTACTTTTCTATCTCAATTATGAATTGATCTATGTTCAAATTTTGCTTTGTTGTTTTTACTAATTAATTAATATAGAAATATTTAAGAAACTAAATAATTCTAAATTTAAATTTACAGAAAGAACTGCCACTAATGCAACAGGATATCAACAGGAAAGAAGGTGAAATCCAAAAGGAAATGTTAAATGGATATTACTATGTTGAAAACATGTATATCTTTGAAAATATTGGTTTTACGCATCAGGTGGAAGCATATAAGTATTTGACATGTGCTGACTGTGATGCTGGACCAGTGGGATACTATGATTTGGACACAAAACATAGTTATGTTGCATTATCTAGAGTAGTCCATTGTTAGTACTAATTCAACCTTTTTGATTAAAAAAATCAGATGAATTTGTATATCTTTGTTTGTAAAAATATTACAAAACAGGGCATTAATTAAAAATATTAAAGAATGGTATTAAAAATTTATGAAATTGACAACATGTCTTTTCATGAATTGAGTAGAAAAATATTTAATTACACTCTAGTTTTCTAGAATGATTATCTATAAAATTTTTCTATTTTCCAATTAATTTAGCAAATATCAATTTTAGTTTAAAAAATATATTATTCATCTGTATTAAGAAAATAAAGAGCTTTCTGTAATGTAAAATAAAATGTAATCTGGAGTACTTATATTACATTTACCGTAAACTAAATAGCTATATTAAAAAGGAATTAATCTATATGTGGCCTATATTTTTATTTGTACACCATTTATGCTTTTTTAATCATTTATAAACTTATGATTCCATTCCATTCATCAGGAATATAAAATAGTCACGGTTTATTATAATTTTTTAAGTACCTATTATGTTTAAAAATAATATATGTGTGCTAATTATCATTTTTATATTTTACACCTGTAGGTATTAAGTAGGATGGTACTTAATTATTTTATATTGACATGTAATAGAAATAAAATATTAAATTTGGAATGTATATCTGCTTTTAATGAACATACTTTTTCGGACCTGTTGAAATTCTATATGACACTGGCAAGAAACATAAAAATATAGACAGCAATTAAGAAAATTAATATAATTTTTCTACCAATGTATGCAGTAATAATGCTGTTAATATTTCATATATAAATAATGTTTTGTACTTTAAATATCGATGCAAATAAAATCTTTTCAATCGAACAAATGATTTCAAAATACATATCTAAATATTTTTTACATAATGTACCTGTAAATAATGATTATAAAATATACATTCATATCTAAGCTAAATGTGTGGACCAAACGATTACTATTTTTTTATACATGCTTATAAGGCACAAAATTATACTTAATGCATTTCTACCAAAATATATGTTATAAATGATATGTTTTCAATAAGCATTTTATTCTGAGAACTTCTAATATTTTCTCACAAAAAATTTTCTTTATGTATATAAATTTGGTTGGAACATGTTTCAAATATTTTTTTATTATACAATGTTATTGGTTATGCCAACTTTTACCTTAGGTTTTTTTACTTATACAATACACAACTTTCTTCACAGCTGTACAATTGTACACATTATGTAAACAAAATATTTAGTTTACCATGTTAATATTATTTGAGGCCTCCCGATATTTCGACCCTGTTACTAACTTCCTGGTCTCTAAAATATTATTATGGCAAATAAATGATTTGTATAATGTGTACAATGCTTATAATAATTATTTTGTATTTAATTGTGTTTATTATTTCATGAGGCACTTGATATGTATGCCATTTATACGAATGTCATTTGGAATACCAAAGTAAATATATTATGATACATACAGTAAGTTTTAACATTCCTAATTATAATTACAAAATTTGAGAGAATTATTTAGTTTATCTTGTAAATACATTTTTGTAAAAACCTCTAACAATATTGATAGTAGTAGTAGTACCTCTAGTATATAAATATAAAATTTATTATTGAGATATCATCATACAGAAGCACTTTACATGCAAAACAAATTAATGATTTTTTTTGTAATGAAAGAAAAAAAAAATCATGTAATTATTAAAAATGTTGAGGCTTGTTTTTGGCTGTGTTATCTGGTCGTAATTATTTATTGATTCACTGTATTGGGAAATTTCCATGAAATTACAAAACTTGAGTTCTAAGTAATAGAAAATCAAAAAGTCATGAACGTACTATAAAATAATTTTATATCTATTTCTTTAACCTAACGTTAGACTATGAATAGTAAACAAAATATTCGACTTTACAACCATCGTTTCCGTGGTGTAGCGGTTATCACATCTGCCTAACACGCAGAAGGCCCCCGGTTCGATCCCGGGCGGAAACATAGTTTTTGCTTTTTTTTATATTTAACTTATGGGTTATTACTAATTTATTATTTTCAATTAAATATTATAAGCTTACAAACTGTTAAGCGAATTTTTTTGTTTTTTAAGTAACGAATTAAAATCCTGAATTACTTTTACAAATGTTTTTAATATATTATTGCTATTAATTTACAACAGGCGCTAATGTCTTTGTTTATGTTCGCTTTTTTTTGTTGGTTATCGAGAAAACGATTAGAAAGTTCATTAAACGTAATTAAATACTAAATCGAATGACGGATAGATGAAAGTACAACTACAGAGTATGTAATCGTTATACTTTATACGTTTCCAATGTTCATTGTGATTCCGTAGAATAATAGTTTATTAGGGTTGTTATGCAGTGTAGTAATACCACTGCTTTGAAAACCATACTCACACTTGGCAACCTGCTTTGAAACTATGACATTCCATTACAGTCGGCCAGACTTGAACTTTACGACTCGTTGATAGCATTCAGGGTATTTATTTATTACTTTTTTTTTATAGTACCAGAAGTAAATTATAAAAAAAATTAAACGATATCGCTTTTTGTATCTTATTACTTATAAGGTACAAAAAGCGGTCTCATCGCATAAGCAATCTCTTCCAGACAAATTTGGGTAGAGTTCAAGACAGAAAGTGGTAGAAAACTATGATGCTTTTGTAACATATACGACCGTAGATGATAATCATCCAAATCTGAAATCTAAATGATATTAGAGGACAGACAGACGAAATGTCAACATAAGTAGTACCTGTACCAAAGGTACAAGTATAAAGAAGGGTATTGTATTCTTATTTAATTTATTTATTTATTCGCCCCGTTTTAGCGCGGGTGCTCATAACTTTGTAAATGTAAATACATATATTGTCACTCTGAAATAATGTACATGTTTCAAACGCTGAAAGAATGTTTTAAATTGGTGCAGTGGTTCCGGTGATTATTTTTTCTTAAACAACATCCAGTAATCTAAATTTGAAATAAAAAAAAAACTTTTCCAATCTGATACAGCTTTATGTTTCTTGCTATAAGTGCATTAAGTTTACTAAACAATAACTAAAGGAGAAACACACAAGGTTCTTGTGATAAGACAGCATTGGTTGAGAGCATGAATAATTAATAAGGCTTAAACATAATTTTCTATTTCTATTTTTATTTAAAGCTAAGTCAGGTAGGTCATCCTAATTTAAAAATAAAACATTTTATTTAAATAATAAAAAATATTATTCCATTTTGTTCGGAACTCTAAAAATACTATATAAGTGATGGGTGACCTTCCACATTGCCATGCTGCATTACCAAATCAACTGACAGCAGATCACTTCTACATTAAAATTAGTTTCTACTGGTTTCTACAATAATTTGTGTAACTAACGAGTGAAATTGAATTGATCGAACATCGCCCCACCTTGGGAAAATCACTTTCGTTTTTAATTGTTAAACAATTATTTATAGTGAACTGTATGGTGAAATTTGATGATACCCATTAACATGTCTACGTATGATATCATTTGATAGCCGATTGGTGGATATGTCAGATTTAAACAAATAAAAAGGTGATATACCGGGTTTAATTATGTTTTTTATGTAATAGGAATGTCCAACAAGCCATCTGATGGTAAGTGGTAATCGTCACCTATTCATGAACAGTTGAACAGCATCATGGACAGGTGCTCTAACGATTTGTGCTGGCAGGCCATAGGATGATCATGAAGTCATGTCCGATAACCGCTGGCGTCGTCACGATGATTTCCAGGGAGAACACGTGGGCATCGTCCTGAAATGGTAGATTAGTAATTGGGCGCCCATCTGATCGACCCCCCGTCAAATTCAAATGGGCATAGAAATTACGAAGGCCTGTCGTAATTTCTTAAACTGTTAAAAATTACGTAGTTCGAACCCCTAGGCGGTGCTCTCAGACTAAAGTCGTATCTGTCAGGCGGGAGTTGGCATTCAGCTGCTCCATAAGTCCTTCCATGGGTTTGAGTGCCATCTACACTCGCCCCCTATCGTTCGATGAAGCTGAAAAAGCCAGCCGCGGCCAACAGCATTGGTGTAGTCCGAAAAAAATGTATTATAAACAATCCTTTACATTCCTCTGTTTAATGATTGAGATATCGAAAGGCATAATAGCAACATGAGCGAATAAATGACACGGGCGTGAAATCACACGCTGTCCTTATTACTTCATATTCAGATGGTGGCCATCTCCCATCAATTGAACTCACCTTGTTTACCATTGCAATTACATAAAAAAGAAACATAATACGTAAAAATAACGTAACTTACTCTGTACATAATATGTAATTATTACAGTAATACGGACACCATTAGCTAGCATAAGATGTCCAATGATAAAATATGATTCGAACTTTAACCTACATTCTCTATGAGAGGTATTACTATTCAATTGCGTATATTACGCACCGTCCAACATTACAAAATCATTAAAATGTTCCTCATTTAATGCATTTGAATTTTCTAATACATCAAATAGGCAGTGATGCCAGATTGAGGGTGGTTTTCCAAAATTTGAGGAGATATTGTGGCGATTTCGAAAAACAATTGTTTGGGGGAATTTTTGGAAGAAGGAAAACAATTTCTATACAATACATTTTCTATGACAGGGATTGTCATTGTAAATAAAGGGCATACGAGAGTAGGTTAGGTTCTTTTTAATAAAGGAGTAAAGACAACTAAAAACAAGAACATAATCAGTTCTAAGAAAAATAAGTATGTAAACCATAAAAGTAGTAAGTGATAAAAACAAAATCAACATGATTTTATTGGGAAATAATCAGTACTAATATTAGCTCTTTTTATGGAGGATTAATAAATAGGTCATGCTTCTTATCTAAAATGAAAGATACCACTACTGTTCTCCACAACCATTTTTTGGGGGATTTTATAACATAATTTAAGGGGGAGTAAAGATGTTCACCTGGCAACACTGCAAATAGGTTATATTTCGTAGATATTGTCTCTCTGATCTGCGGTTCTACTGTACTCGCATATCTATAAGAATGCCGTAATATTGTTTGAGGTTATATACTAAATTGTTTTAGTATGCTATTGTATCATCTTTCTTCATTTCGTACATTATTGCCTGTGGACTAATATTCATTTGTCAATAGATTGCACACCTATTGTATGAATTCGCCTCTGTGCACTGTTTCCTTTGCCTGTTTATTTTTTAACAGAATGCAAAATAAACTATTAATACTCTCATTTATTGTATACTAGCTACCCGCCCTGGCTTCGTACGAGTATACATGTACAATACATATAAAACTTTCTCTCGTAGAACTCTTTCTTGCTAAAAATTGCATTAAAGTACATTGCGTAGTTTAAAAGATTTAAGCGAATAGACAGTGGAAGCAACTTTATTTTATACTATATAGAGATAATATGATATATAAGCGCCATCTAGTTGTAAACTAAGCAGAGATTGTACTATTGGAAATAGTAAACTGACCTAAAACTACCAGGGCAATACAATTTATAAATACAAATGTATTGTGTGGCGATCAAATCTGCGACCATCGGAAATTATAGTAGTGCTGTTAATAATAATCAGCGAGGTCACCACCATAACTTAGATACTAGAATTAAATAAAAAATCAATAACAATGAATATTAATAATAAGTGATTTCGTAAACAACGAATAACTGTTAAAATTTCTCAACTATCATATTATTCAAGTAATTTTAGGTGATTACAATAAAAAATCATCAACATCACTAGTTA